TCATGCACAGGGTTCCGTTGTTAATATTGCAGAGATAGCATATGTTTGTAGGTAAGTAATCTACCTGTTTACAGTGCCATTAAGAAACTGCTGACTCCACCAGTTCACAGGCCCATTTAAACCTTTATCTGCTTCTGACTTGCTGAGTATTTGCTATTCAACACCATGTAAGTGATTTCCTGCAGCCTCTGTAGCACAGGTTGTTGGGTTGCTAGGGAATAACTCTCAAGAGGTTAAGAGTTCTGCAGTCACCTTCTTCTCAGTGCCAGTTTTATCTGTGCTAATTTTCTGCTTTGTGTTTTATAGTGTGGACTATATAATATTGTGTTACATAGTGCGAACTTTGTCTGTGTTCTAAGTGTGAACGATTACGGCTGTAGATGGAGAGTTGTACTGGTTGCTTTCACAGTATAATCTCTTCAACATATTATTACAAATGAAACATCATCATTCAGCTTAAAAAAAAACCCAAAAGAATGAAAAAGAAAAATGTCAAGTGAGATTGGTTGGGAAAAGATTTTTTTTCCTTTCTAGGTCATTCATTTGGGGTTCTTTTTACTGTTGTTGGTTCATAGCCTTTTCAATAAACATGCAGGACAACTGCTTCACATCCAAGACAACTAGGAACTGCCTCGTAAAGCCTTGGATATTTAAGCGTCTCACATGACATCTTGCATCTGTGGACTGTTAACTCAGCAGTAATAGTGGAGGATGCTTAACCCCAAGAGTTACAGCATGTTGCCTCTGTGTTTTCTGTGCTGCCACAACTGCAGGTAGAATAACAGAGAATAAAAAAAGAGACCCAGATCATGGATATAAAGAAGGATCCACATGGATATTTTCCAAAGCTTTAAACCTACCCTCCTTTACCTGACTTATTCAATAAGGGTCAACACCTACACATATGGTCCTACAGTACTATTCCTATTCTATGTTATTTTAATAGAATCATAGAATCAATCATAGAATCGTAGAATAATTAGGGTTGGAAAGGACCTTAAGATAATCTAGTTCCAACCCCCCTGCCATGGGCAGGGACACCTCACACTTGGCCATTTCACCCAAGGCTCTGTCCAACCTGACCTTTAACACTGGCAGGGATGGAGCATTTACCACTTCTTTGGGCAACCTGTTCCAGTTTGAACCTATTACCGGTTTTAGTTTAAACCCGTTACCCCTTGTCCTATTGCTACAGTCACTGATGAAGAGTCTCTCTCCAGCATACTTACAGGCCCCCTTCAGATACTGGAAAGCTACTATGAGGTGTCCACACAGTCTTCTCTTCTCCAGGCTGAACAGCCCCAAATTTCTCAGCCTGTCTTGTATGAGAGGTGCTCCAACCCCTTATCCTCCTCGTGGCCCTCCTCTGGACTTGCTTCAACAGCTCCATGTCCTTCTTATGTTCAGAACACCAGAACAGCACACAGTACTCCAAGTGGGATCTCATGAGAGCAGAATAGAGGGGCAGGATCACCTCCTTCAACGTCCAATAGATAATAGATATAGCACAGAAGAATAAATACCTTTCCTCCATGACCAACACTTAAATTCCATCAGCTTTCTTCAAGGATACTAATGGGAAAGTGAAAAAGGAATTGAGCCCCCTAGTCTGTTAAGAGCTCATAACATTTCTACTACTTCTGGGTGCTATTCCTACTTTGAGGGTCAAGTAGGGGTTGCTACATCTTTGTCAGTGGTCCCAAGTAAGGAGGCCCTGTATGTGCAGAACTGGCTCTTTCTCACTCTATATCCACTGTACTTCCACAGAGAGATCCCAAATGGTCTGTGAGGAAAGCAGACTTCCCACTTCCTGCTACAGTCCCCAGCACCCATGTAGTAGGACATGGGACTTAACACAGATGCCCTTGAATTGTGATGATTTCATTCAGAATTAACTCAGACTAGAAATGTAAGCAAATGAACTCCTGTTATCTCATTAATTATGCTATCAGGTTGCACTATCAGAAGCCATAATATGTTTGCATCTCATATCCCAGCCAGAGAGGTGGATAAGAAGGAAAAATTGTATGTTTGCTGCAGCTAAATCCATGTGTATGCCATTTCAGAGACTGACTGTCATGCAATATACAGAATACCTGCAGTCACCTCTTATCTCAGTAGAAATGTATCCTATTGAACTAAACCATGCAAAAATACAAAGTACCTTACATTTAAGATTAGAGGCAACGTCTGTAGCAGAGTTGTTTAGATAGCTTCAGTTGTAAAACCCTATACGTGAAAACCACTTGGGTTTCTCCAGGTGAAAATTAAAGACATAATAACAGTATCAGATGCTTCTGAAGCAAGGAAATATTTTTAAAAGGTAATAAAAGCAACTCATAAGAATTTACAAATATTCAAACATTGCACTGTTATGTAATAACTAGATTTCAAAATGTGCTTCTACTTTTTTGCTCTGGTCCACAGATAAACATTATATCATGTGGGTTGAAACTGTCATTTGCAAAGATGAAGGAACACAAAGAATTGAGTTCAGTTTCAAGACAGAAGTTACCTGAACTGGGAACAGAGCAAAATAAATTCTCAAGTAAGAAGAGAAAAAATTGGTTGACACACCAGGAACTCTTTCTTGCATTTTCCTTACCTAAAACCTCCTAAGTCTGTGATAAACTTCATCTGAGGAATCTATGAGCCTTTCCCAGCCACTTGACCCTCTCTCAAGCCTACTGTCCTTTTTCAATAGCACAACCAGATCTCTACCTGAGGCCTCTCTCCCTTCCATGCCCCATCAGTGCCACTATTCCCAAAAATGGCTTTGAGGTCTCTCTGTCATTGCATTTGTGCATGAAAAATAAGTTCCACACTCTGAAAGCCCAGTGAAGGGCCAGCAGTCCTTGCTGTGTCCTATAGATCAGGGCTGAGTTACCACAGAAAACATAGCTGTCCTCCAGCTTCACACTAGCTGGTGCAAAGTGAATTATTCTTCATCAGCATCATGATCTTCAATTGAATTTATCTGGTCTTTACGCAAATTAAATTGTCACTCCAGGTGGAAGGTTTTATGTGACAGGTTTTTCAAATTTAATCTTTTTTCTTCAAATTGCCTGTTATCTTCTACTTATAAAACGAAATTGAATGTTAAGTATGGGCTTAGTGTAGCTATTAATCATTTAGCTAAATAAACCCACTTGCAAACTGTGAATATCTGTAAATAAAATAATAGCTTTTCTACCTGCTACCTCTTAGTTCCACGTAGACTGGCTATAGAGTAAAAGACAAAATAAGAGCTGTTGCAAAATTTAAGGAAAAATTTTCTAATTTTGCATTAAGGTAAGGTACAGAAACATGATCACTATACAAGGTCTAATCATTATTACCTAATGTTATTTTGCTTCCTCTGACACACACAGCTTACTTGCTTCTGGGTTCTAGACTCTCAGGGCTGTTCTATTTAATAAGCGCTTCACATAAAATGCATATAGGGCTTTATTTTCTCAAATAAATTACCAACAGGGCAGTTGACTTTCTCACCTGGTGAGTCTAATGATACTCACTGCTGGTCCAGGATTATGTGGGTAGACGGTACAACTTAACCTATCACTTGCACTTGGGCACTTGCATCCGAAGCAGATGTGGCAGAAGTGGAACTTGTCCCCTGACCCCCTTTGATAGATATTATTGCCAGTTGCAGACAGAGGAAATTGCAAGCCTTCAAAATCAAAACACTCAGATGAAATGGTTACTGAAGTAATTTAAGCTTGTCAACTTTATTTTTTCCTGCTTTTTAGTGGTCAACCTCCGAAATACAGCAAAGGGAAAAAAAAGGGAAAGATGCATTATATGATAAACAAAAGCAAAGAACTCCAGATTTCCTGACCCATTCTTCAAATCATGCACTAAAAAAAATCCCCGAAGACATTTTGCTCAGTGTTCAAGAGCAGAAATTAGCCACAAGTCCATTTCCTGTGAAGACAAACTTCATTAATGTGTAGCTACCATCACTCATCTGCCTTCACAGTCAATGTTTTCTTCTGTGCTTTGTCCTTTCTAACTCTCTCCTTTCTACCTTTCTGCTTTCTTATCTAAATCTTCTTTTTTGTGATACTTCTTCATGCCTCTCACCTTTACTATTCATAATTGCCCTTCTCAGGCAAGTGAATAACTTAGGGTTTGTGTTACTAGTCCTTCATCAGGCAGAGTACAAATCCCTTGTGATTTATTAGCTCTTTGGTTCTATTTTCTTGAATGTGTGAGATAGACTGCATTGCTATTTCTTCACCATAAAGGTAGAAAGTTGCTAATGGAATGCAAAACTAGCAAGATCAATCTAGGATTGACTTTGCAATTGACAGCTCAAAAATGGACGTCTGCAATTTCCTGCCTTTATTAGTTTCCCTTGACAGCGCCTGTCTTTTCCCTGATTGGTCTGTATTTTCCTTTCTGAGCCTGAGAGGAAAAGCACCTCTATAAAACTATTGCTTACAGCATTCATTTTTCCTAACTTTTTTCCTTTTCTATTTATGAGGAAAGAAGATTTAGTGAACTCAAGGACCAACAGTATAATCCTTTTCATGTTTCTCATAAATCAGATTCATTGTCTTATGGCTGTTCACCTACTCACCCCTTTAGCAATCTTTCACGTATTTAACATTCTTACTAGTCTACTGGTTATGCTATGTTAGCCCAGCTAAGGGTTTCAGTATTAGAATGCTCCCTTCATTTGATCACTCAGAGAATTACACTATAATGATCCTCTAATTACAGAGCTGTCATGCTGTGTTAAATCTTTTCTATATATGCTGTCAACTGTTTACACTGTTCTGCATGTCCTGGATTTCACATTTCCAAATATATTACTGTGATAGCTGACAACAGCATTGACAAACTTAATGTACAGTGTATGGTTGTGGAAAAGTAGGGGAAGGACTTTTAAAAAGGTCTTGGAAAGTGAGAGTAAACCAATATTACCACAGAAGCTTTAATCAATGTGTATATTTCTATAAACCAGTTCATTCCTGTTTTTCTGTGTTTTTCCACAGTGGTTATGTCTTTGATTATGATTACTACAGAGATGATTTCTACAATCGGTATGTGTGGTTATATTTTTGTACATCCTACACCATTTCTACTGTTTGTTTATAATGTAATCACATCATTTGGTTAGACAGGTCTGTTCTGATTTTACGTATTATTCATTTCATTACTTCTATTATATATCAGAAGAAGACTATTTGAATATATCACAAATAGAGAAGATTAGCACCATCAAATACATGCATGCACATTAAACAGTTCTTTTGGTCTTATCCTTCTCTAAGAACTTTTGGGGTATTTTCTGTGCTGAACATTTCAGTGGTAGTTTAATTGCTCAGTGTTCATTCCTACAGAATTCTTCCAGACTTACTTTCACTGGAACATATAGCAGCTGTAAAATTCTTCAGCATGGCACTCATCTCTTGGTCTTTCCATCCATGTGTATGAAAAGATACGGAATGTCTCCTGAAAAATGTGTCTTCCAAGAATGTTTAGAAGACTAGAAGACCTTGAGAGATGCAAAACCACAGTCTGAACAGAATGTGTGTTTCTAAAGGAGGAAAAGAAGTGTGGATACCTGAGCAGCTAGAGACTTGTTCTTTGAGTATATACACACGGTCTAGCTTAGCACTGTGGGAATTTATTCATTCAGATGTAGCAGAGTCACCACAACACAGGGTTAACATAGATGACCACGGATATCCAATTCGTGATCCAGCAGTTCTATGTCTCTGCATTACAGCAGCCTGGCTTAGCATAGGCCAAGTGAGTCAGAGGGGAACAAAGTATTGCTTCACCAACCTCTTTTAATCTGAGATTTCTTTTATGTAAAGCAATGGACAGTAGCAGGGGAGTGGTTTCCACCCTAAAGTTATCATGCACTATGTATCTTTCTGCTCAGAAACACTGTAAGAAAAATGTAGAAACAATATATTTTGTCTTTTCTTCTTTTTTCATGTTGATTTAATTTGAGCTATTAGTTTTGGTTTTGCATGTAAATGACCATGCTCCCTTTGGACAGAGATAAAAATAGTGAGCTATAAACAGGTGGAGTAAAAGCTATCGGTGTAGTTTAATCCTGCTTAGTCCAGCCTTGACAGTAGGAGCAGCTTATTCCCTATAAAAAGTTAACTTCCACAGGTTTATGTTTACTTTCCCTAAGCTTAATGCTCTGAATTTCATCAGTGGATTTTTATGTTTTTAAACAGAGTACTGTTTCTGATCTATGCCACCTGAATATTAAAGCTACATGTCTTTAGTTTTTTCCCTAATTCTATATATTATGGGTAGCACAAATGAACAACGATAATAGTTAAATTTTGATAATAAAATACTTGTGAGATATTAAAGGTAGTTTCTGTGGAACTTGGTGTCTATCTTGATGATTGCCTTATTATGGAAAACTGCTGAGTGAAATGTGTCCATAAATCTGTTCTAGTGTAATTTTCTGATGTATAAATCTTTCAGGAGAGGAAGGCATAGGGAGTCAACAAGCGGCTGCATGGTACTGAGTTACCAGCTGGGTTTAAATCACGACAACGTGAAATACTGGAAAGTGGAAAAAAAATCACCTTTAGAATAATAATTGCATGATAGCTTACAGTTCTGAAACATATGATTCTATGATTTTTTCTAGTAATGTGAAATGGAGATTGTGGCTAACTTCCAGATCATCCAATTTGATAAATGATGAGTGACAACAAACAATAATATCTCTGTTAAAAGTCCCAAAAATGTTTTAGTGTTCATCTTCATACACAATTGTTTAATTATGCTCACAATGGTTAGAAACTGCTTATTTAGCAAGAATATTCAAGGCCACAAAGTTCAAGTTCAGTGGGGGTGACATGATCTCTGTGACGCATTTTGGAGGCAGCTGTTGAAAACAAAGGAGCTGATTATATTCCCTGTAGGATTATGGTACAGACAACAGTAAGGATGCTGGGATTTAAGCATTAGGTGTTTACTTGCCAGAAAACAGGCTAGAAGATTTAAGTTTGATTCTGCTTCCTGTCCAGCATGCTGTTAGACAGTGTGGTGAGCAAATTACTGTTTCTTGGGTGTCTGTTTTCAAATGTGTATCTATCTACCCAGCTGGGTGACTGTAGTCAGAATTGTGAAAATTAAACATGCAGTTACAAATTTCCGTAACTACTAGTTGCAAGTATCATTTGAAAAAAACTCAAGAACATTTCATGAGAATGTTGCTTGTCCCTCTGCTTCAGTCTCTGATCTGTAAATCTTCATTTTCTGAACTTTCTTCTCCTGACCTACCAAATGGAACACACATAGGTTTTTATTTTTTAAGTATATCTGTAGTTTTAATCACCTTTTCTACTGCATTTATTTTCTTCTATGCAGGTTAGTCAGCTGGTGATAACTGTGTTTTTAGGATTGGGTATTCTGTTTGGGAACACTAGTTCATTTTGGTTTCAGGGTGTCTTTTATTGACTGTAGTAATTCTCTGAATATTTACTTGCTACAGTGGGGTTGGTTTGAACAAGACTTCTTTCTATTAAGCATGCTTGAGTATTTTAGTCATCCCACATCAATTCATTCTTCAATAAAGAGAGCATATGCTGAGACCTCTTTTCTATGAATTCAGAAGGACATACAGGTGCCTCACTATAAATACTCTCATTATTTCAGAAACTGCAGGATATTTCTTTATGGTGATGATTTGCTTCAGAAATGTTCAAATTTTTTTTTGTCTTTAAGGATAAGAGATAGAAAACTAGAATGTAAGCCATGCATGTAATAAAGGAGCTGAAATGTCACCACAACAAAAAGTACTGCAATTAGCTGTGTGCAATGAAATGATGTGGACCTGTGGAAAGCAGGTTATGTATTTTCCATAGTGCAAATAACATGGTCCCATAACACATCCCTCATTAAAATTATACAAAAAATATGAGCTATGCACTGGTCTGTGACTGAAATCTGAATATGGCACTTAATGTGCATAGGTCCTTGAAATCTAATTTGACTGTGATCTAAAGTGATTACAGTTTCAAAGGGTAATTTTCTCAAAGATAACATGAAAATTTTGTTGACAGGGCTTCTATGACTTGAAATCACATAAGGTTTTATGGAGTCCAGATGACTTAATCTTTTCTAGGTTGTTTGATTACCATGGTCGTGTCCCCCCACCACCTCGTGCAGTGATTCCACTTAAACGCCCTCGTGTGGCTGTGACAACAACTCGCAGAGGCAAAGGGGTTTTCTCCATGAAAGGAGCATCACGATCCACCTCAAGTGGGGCTTCTTCCTCAGGATCCAAATGTGAGTTTCTCATATCAGTTGGGTATTATTGAAACAACGATCCTAGTAATTTGTGCAAGCAGACAAATTCCATTATATAGCCCTGTTGAAGTTATTTCCTACCCTCAGCCTCTAGCTTGACAAACTGGTTTGATTACTAAAGCTGTCACGCCTTTCCTGCAAGTCAAAGAGCACACTGACGTAGGTTTTGAAGGAAATCCCATCAACATTTGACCTACTCCCTTGGCCTCATTAGAAGCCTGTTTAAAATCTCCTATCATCCTGACTTCTTATGCACCATGAGGTCTTATGAACGGCTGATAATAAATCAAAGCTATTAATCTTGTTATAGACAAAGGCACACTGATTTCTGTGGAGACTTGAGGGTTATATGTGAGCTGGTGGGGAGTGGGCTGGGGGTAATGGGGGAGGTTGGGTGTGTGTCTTTTTTTTGCCAGATTCCTTTGAGGGTAGAAAGAGGCAAAGTGTCTTTGCCTGTTCTAAAGGGAGTGCAAACCAGGACTGGCAACTTGGGGTTGTTCAACACTTCTTTAGTGAGTTGGCCTTAGAAGAGCTGATGAACAGTAGGCATTCCCTCCTCCATGATGACCAAGACACCCACCCCATAGTATGTCCTGGGAACTTCATCTTCCTCTTCGTGCATCTTTCAGCACCCACCTGTCTTCCCCTGCCCCTTATGTGGAGTGATACTGTCCTTGGAAGCGTCACTGGAAGAGGAAGAGAAAGATCAGGTAGGGATCGGATATTAGAAGGAATGAAAGGACTTCAATAAGACACTTGCAGTACCAGACTGGTGAACAAAGCATCATGCTGTTTTACACACAATCATGAAATAAGTGAATCCACCAACAGTACACCTTACTGCAAGAGGGATTAATTATGGCATCGACATGAGCCAATTATATACTCTAATAAATCCAATCTCACACATTAACATCTAACAAAGAAGATGGACCTCCAGTGAGCCCACTAATGTCCATTCTTGATCCTATTGTATGAGCTGATGGTATCAGAGACCTCAAAAGAAAATACGTAATAAACATGCATGTGACTGAAAGAATGTAAATGTGATAAACAGAGCTAAAGAGAATGTTGTACATTGTGAAATAAGGAGCTTAAGCAATTCCTTAGAAAGGATGATGTTCTGAGAAAGAGAGTCTCTGTTGTCTGTACAGTTGAATCATGCACAAGTCTCCAGAGAATGAACTGGCTATATGCCCACTACCAGTGGCTGGAGCTTTGATACCTGGCACACAGGAAGACATTTCAATTTAGGTGTAATATTATGGAGCTCACACACACCCTAAGAGGATGTTTGGGAGTAGCAACACTTCCTTTGTTCTCTGGAGGATGAACATGAGTCTAGACATTTTCATACACATCTTGAACTAATCCACTTGTCCATAGCTACATTTTGTCTTTCCTCAATAACTTAAGTAATGAATTATGATTAATATTAAATATGTTAGTTTAAAAGAAAGCATACAACTCAAGATTTACACTTTAGTAGACATAGAATTGAAATTATTTTGATAGTCTTTTTAGCCCTTGAGGCTTTGGGTTTTCACACAGTGAATGAAAGCTTCAGTAAATATATACACTTGCAGATTCATTCATTAGATCTCCTTTGTTCATCCTTTACTGTTGTCTTATCCATATGAAAAGCTAGTAGTATCAGTGTATTCAATTCACTCATTTTCCTAAAGCATAGTCTGATAAGAATAGGCTTTTTGGATTCACTTTTCCCTGAGAATACAAATTATTTTTGGATAAGTTTTTTTATATACATACTTCTCATTGTCTAGAATAAGAATAACTCCAAAATTCTTCTAGAGAGCTGAGGATCTTAGTGTATCCCAATAGATGTTAAGGAAATCTCTCACCCAGAAATCTGGATTTTCATTGTAGTGAATGAGACAGAACATATTACATTAGCACATAGATACCTGTTCTTCATAATAATCACCAGATTTGTTTTATTTTTTATATTACATTTCAGAAAATCTTTTGTAGTACTGTGTCAGGATTTAAGTAATACATAACGTAGATTAGAGGAATCATCCCTAGTCTGAGTACTCATAGCCACTTGATATAAGACCTCCAAAACATTGTCATCATAGCATGACAAACATTGCAGAACCTGTAAATTATTTAATGAAAGTGAATTCAGGAGTCTAGAGATCCTAACAAACAGTGTTACGCCCCAGTAAAAGTATCCTTCATATTCAAGTGTGATGTGAATTCTAAAAATGTCAGTCTTGGAGCACCAGGTGACAAGATCCAGTGCTTTAACACTGAAAGAAGAGCTACAAGATGTTTTGACGTTTTGGCATTTTGACCTCTGCTGGGTTTCCACCATCAGTTCTTTACAATGGCAATTGGCACACAACTGCAAAGACTGTTTATCATGCTGGAATAAACTGCAGAAAATTTTCTTTCTGCATACAACACACTTCTAAAAGGAGTCAGACACACAGTATACAGACTTTCATGCTTGAATTCCCTATAGAATTACTTTCCTTTTTGTCAAGTCCAACCAATCCATCATAAAAGTAGAAACACAATTTTGTTGACTTGGACAGGAATATAATCAGCTTATTGTAAGACGTTTATCAGAGAAATAACTGAACCAGTTCCTTGGGGGCTTCAAGTTGGAAAATAAAGAATGTGGCTTGGGGCTTCTTTTGCTATTTTCTTGGAAAAGTTGGTTATACTGAAATGTGGGGTGAAGCAATTTAATATTTTGTTGCCCCTTACTCTACACTGCTAGTGCAAACCCCTTGAACTAATGTACTGGTGATTCTAGTTATAACTTATTGCTACTTAAATAACAGATCTATTCAATAAGAAGAAACAGTGGAAAAGAAGCTATTTTGGGGTTTAACGAAATTCAAGACCATAAAAGGGCTTAATCGCAGGTTCAGAATTAACTATATCAAAATTGTATTGCCTATGCTTGAAAGATTTCACCCTCAAAGAGCAAAACTCTCATCAGATTACACCTCCTAACAGACTTTCCAGATTTAAGCAGCAATGTCATAGGCATAACTGTTCTCATAGCTGTTCTCCACTCAGACTGGGTCCAGAAAATGATCCCATACATGTAGTATTAGAGGTCAGAGACCACCTCAGTGAAATTACCAGGATTAGAGGGGCTCACTTCTGAAAATCAGCAATCCAAAACCAGAAGTTTGTTGTGGTACACAGCAAAGATGTTATAAAAGCATAATACCAAACATGCCTTGCTTATTGATACTACATCTGCAAAAATTATGTCTGCCGCTGCAGTAAGTTCTCGTTCTACCAAAAAGTTGCAATATGTGTTCTAAGTGTGCCTCCAAAACACAAAATTACTTTTATTTCTTTCCTGAATCTATAATTTTTCAAGGATCAGTTGTCAACATTTTGTTTTCTTCTTAACTAAAAAAAATTAATCAACCTTTTCACATTATTAAAAGTAACTCACAAAATGAAACATGTTGATGTGGAAACTACACATAGTAGTTCTTCATATTAATGGTATGAAGCAGCAGATGCAGATTGCTGTTTAAAACTGGGAAGTAATTCTGCCAATATAGCAACTGAAGCTCTTGGAATATGCGCTTTTATTCTACACATCTAAAAACAGGAGGAAAACACTAATCAAATTTTTTATGCCCTGTGTGTTTACGATTAAGAAGTAGACCCTTAAGATGTTACAATAGGTCCTGAACTGCGCTTTTAAATTGATTCATTTTGACTCATTTATATTCAGCTTCATTAGCTAACCCATTTTTCAGTGAAATCTAAAGTAATGCAATATGATAAAATATTTTATATTAAACATGAAGGGCTTAGATAAAAATACATGACATTTCTTTCAAGAAAAATCTGAATCATGTTTTGTGGATGAATCAATTTGTAGTTATGGCAAAAAATGTTTCACGAATATAGCTGTAATTCAACACTAGCCCTTTCATTTCTAAAAATGTGATTGACCTCAATATTAAATCTCTTCTTTTGAGCTGGATGCAGTTTGCCTCCTTTGGTGCTACATGCTTCAATGAAAGATGCTTTCTGGAAGGCCCTTGCACTCTTGGCAGAGGGCTGGAAAGGGTCACTGAATGTACTTCGTTACTGTTGAAAGTACCACATCATCTAATCCTTTAAGCTCCAATTTAAGGCTAGTTTGGGTTTGCTTTTTGTCTCTCTTTCTTCTAATTTCCTGCTTAAATTTTTTTCTTATTTGTTCATATCCATTCGTTGTGCCAACACTCCCTTAGCTTTAAAATTTTGTTTCCTTTTACCTTCTTTTGTCTCAGGCAAACAAGCAAAACTCTTCTGTCACACTACAGGCTTTCCATTCTTATGGTCATCTTCACGGCCTCTCTCCCCACACATGACAGAATTTAGTGATTCAACCGGTATGCATTATTCCCAATGAGGTATCACCAGGTCCTTGTACACTGGCATTGTACTTCTTCATCTTTAGCAATTCATCATTCGAGACATCTTAGCACTGCATTTTCTTTCTCATGGCTACATTATAGTGTAGTCTATTGTCAACCTAAGATTACAACTACACCCAAGGATAATTCTGTCACTGCCTTTTTCTGCTGAGGAACTTCGATGTTACGAGTAGGAGTTCTGCCATTAGTCAATCAAGTGTGGGACTTTTTTCAGTGCAATTACATTGCATGCCTTAAAATGACCTGACCCCTCCATTCCAGTTCACTTTGAATAGATGATGCCTTCCAATTTCATGTCATCAGCAAATTTCACTTGTTTATTTTCTTTATGGCATCAAAGTCATTGAAGATATTTAGCCATTTTGAAGCCAGTGTTTGAGGAATTTCTTTAGTAATTTCTTTCCCTTCCAACCCATGCATTTCTGTCATCTGCTGGCCTGTGCTTATCTGCTAAGAAAAAAAAAAAATAATAAAAGATTAAAAAAGCAGTAAGGTACTTTATTTTCCTATTCTATTACTCAAAAGCAGATGAACAGATATTTTGGACTCACGCAGCTCTGATTTCATGTTTATCAATTGCTTTATTTCTTGCCTGAGGAAAAAAAAGTCTGTGACATTTTAAAGAAGAATTCATATGCTCACAGGAGGACACCTGAAGTACAGTATATACAGTCTTTACATTTGACTTTGGCATAAAAAGCCTAAAGTTCTTTCCAAGCTTCGTATCACAGAATCACAGAATGGTCGAGTTTGGAAGGGACCTCTGGAGCTAATCTGGTCCAACTGCCCTGGCTAAGCAGGACCACCTACAGCAAGTTTACCAGGGTTGTACCCAGGCAGCTTTTGAATATCTCCAAAGGTTGAAACTCC